GCTGGAGTTGCAGTGGCCGGATCTCAGCTCACTGCAAGCTCCGCCTCCCGGGTTCACGCCATTCTCCTGCCTCAGCCTCCCGAGTAGCTGGGACTACAGGCGCCGCCACCTCGCCCGGCTAGTTTTTTGTATTTTTTAGTAGAGACGGGGTTTCACCATGTTCACCAGGTTGGTCTCGATCTCCTGACCTCGTGATCCACCTGTCTCGGCCTCCCAAAGTGCTGGGATTACAGGCTTGAGCCACCGCGCCCGGCGAAAGTCTCTCTCTTTTGGACAAGAATATGCTAGACTCATATGTATAGCGCATATGTACTTAATAGAAAACCTAAGGATATGGCTGTGATGGCTGGTGCTGTAGCAGCTGTATTGTGACCATGAAGTGACCTTGAGGATGAAAGCCAGTGCTAAGAATGGCAGAACAGAGAGAAGGAAGCCAGGACACTGATGACACTGCAGAACCACCACAATGTCCCTGGATTGCCTTACCACTGCACTTGTTTTGCATAACAGAAAAGACATTTCTTTTCCTAAGCTGCTGTTATTTGGGGATTTTGTTATAAGTAGCCAAACGGAGTTCTTATCTGGTGAGGATGGGGTGTGTGTGTGTGTGTGTGTGCGTGTGTGTGCGTGCGCACATGCGTATGTGTTAAAAGGTGGCATATAGAACATGTTGGATTAGGGACTTTAAATTTCTGCATTGCTCTAAAGTAGAACTGAAACAGTTGAGAACCACAGCTGAGGAAACCAATCTGATATCTATGATCAGAAAACCCTCATTCTTATACAGATGGGTGTCCACACCGTGCATATTCACCAAGTGCAAGTCGATTGCCCCCTTCCCTACATCTTGTTGACCAAGACAATATCTACCTCATAAAGATTGAAATTTACATTTTATGCCATTAGCAGTTTTTATTGAAGGAGGTAAATGATTTTTTAATTCATCTCAGGTTTAAGATAAATTCTGCAAACATTGATTAAAACATGAAAGGCACTTAAATAAGCATACATATCTCTGAAAACATGAAATGTTATGTACATGTGTTCACCATTGTTTGGATTTAGAGCTTTGAATTCACTAAGAGTTTAAAATGCTTTTTTTTTCCTCATGCCAAAACGTTTGACTGTGAAATATCAACCCAGAATGCTCTGGGAAAAAGTTAGCAGGGCTTCAACCGTTTTTGTTTTTGTTTTTTTTAAATTGCAGGCTTAAACCATCTCTATTCATATAGAACCCAGAAAACATGTCTCCTTGGATATGCCATGTGGCCTCTCGGTTTCACCAGGCATCTTGAAACATCGAGGGCAAGTAAGAGAGTTGTCCATTCATATCTTCATCACCAATATTAAGTTTCTTTTAAAAATTCAACACTTGCTGGGTAGAAAAGTCTCTGCAATAGCACAACATGCTTGTCTGCTTTTCAGTCCATTCTGTGTGTAATTCCTGGGGTTTATGAGATAGAAAAATAACTCCAGTTGTGGCCATTTATCTAGTTTTGTGGCAGCTGCAAATTCGGTTGCTCCAGAAACCACCTAATCTTCAATCTCCCAACTACTTTTAATGGCTGGATTAATGGACTAACCACTTACATGTGAAAATCCATCTTGGCTTCATTATCAGGACCATGGACAATGGGCAGATGGACAGAGGATTTACTGATTTACAAACTATTACCATCTTTGACATTTATTTGAAAAAAAAAAAAGACGCTTCAGATCGTTTAATATTTCAATGATAACTTAGTTTTATGAGAGAGAGATGTTTTAAGGGAACAAATGAGAGGCAGTGTTTTTTTGTTTTGTTTTGTTTTTTTAAATGAGGTACCTTGGAAAACAGCATACAACACCACATGCAGACCTCCACAATAGGTGGAGGGGACCAGGAGGAATACGAATTCATTTGAAAGTCTCTCTCTTTTGGACAAGAATATGCTAGACTCCCACAGCTCATATGTACTTGATAGAAAATGTAAACATTGATTTGATTTAGGCTCAGCTTCAAAACAGTAGTAAGGCATTAATTAGAAAAGATTATTCCATATTTGTTCTCCTTTATTCTTTTCTTACTTGGTCAAGAACTAAATGAACTCAATGTACTCTTGTGGATGAATGAAGGGCAACTCCCTCTGGGAAGATTCCTTATATTAACGCAAACCCCTGATCCCTTCCAGTGAACTCAAAACCCTAAGCCGAGGCTGAGAAGCAGCCGGTTCCTGGCATGACGAGGATGGTTGTAGGCTGAGGTCTGAAGGGAGAAGTCAGGTAAAAGAGAAGCATTTGCTGCAGAGTAGTGGGGTGGGCAGAGACCTGAGACCCTTGGGAATAGCCCGCCAGGCTGTGCCCTTCAAAGTCTCTGACCAGTTCTGGTTCCAGCATTTTCTGGGCAATGCCATCACAAGCCCCTGTGTCAAGGACAACTACTGCCAATTTTGGCAAGTTTATTTTTCTTGCTGTTGAGTCAGACAAGAAGGCCCAGGCCAAGGATGTGAAGAGCTTAGGGACTTTCAAAGCCACAGAGGGCCTGGCCCATCAGGTCTCCGCAGGAACATGGCTCATAAAATGCATTTGCTCCTCACTTGGAGCCCCAGCTGGCAATCCTAGACAGAACAGGCGAAGGCCACAGTAAGCTGCGGGGTGGCATGGAACTCTGAAAAGACTCCTCCCTTGTGCCATTCTGGGCCAGAACAGAGATTTCACATTTTGCTGGCTTAGGGTGGGGACATGGCATTGTCCTCACAGGCTGAAATCATCACATTTGAAAGCTGGAACAAGCATCTTTTGAATGGGCATAACGTGATTGCTGGGCCAATTTCTGCAGAACGGAGTGACAGGTCACTGTGCCCTCCCGGATGCAGGCTGCCTGCCGCCTTCCTGCAGCATCCCCCTGCTTCCTGCGGACCAGGGCACTGATGCTCAGTTCAGCCTTCAAGTGCCGGGAAACCTGTGGTCCCCCCAGGGCACTCCTGGGAGAATGAACGCAGACGAATTTTTAAACAGCAGAATGAGTGTGTGTTTGTGTGTGTTTGATAATGGTCCAAGCTTTAATAGCATGGTAAAATATTTACTTTACTTTTTATAGCTAGCATGTAATCAATCGCTAACACACTGAAAGAAGCTAGAAACACCACCATCTACTCAGCCACAGCTAGAAGGAACCATTCAACATTTACAAACATAAGTGTATACATATTTATGTACGTGTCACATATAGGTTCATGGGAAATGCAGAGTCATCACCTCGCCAGGTGAGCTGCCCCCCGACCATCCCTCCTGCCCAACAGAAGTGGGCGCCCCTGGGGGCATCATCGCTCATTTCCTCTGACGCTGGGTTTCTTTTTCAAGCCACAGAGGACAGGGCTGTGGGCTTCTCTCTGGTTTTGGTTTTTAAGACATTAATAATCTAACAAATTGGCCCATTCAAGTTAATCTCCCTCTTGACCCTGAATAGCCTTGATTCATTTCGCCAAAATTCCCAATTCCCTATTGGATAAATGATGCCAAGTGTGTACCAGGGACAGGGTTGGAGGTGGGGAAATTGATAATAAATATTAAGTAAATGTCCATTATGTGAAGACAAGTGAGTGGTGATCCTGGCTTCTGGGATTTTTTCATAATGAGGTGGGAAGAAGGGCTGGTCACAGGAGAGCGGCAACCACTGAATTAGGAAATGTTAGAAGTGGGAGGCCTCTGAAGACCATGATTTTCCTTTCCAGGGGAAGGAGTTGGGAATGGACTGGGCCACACATGGGACCGGAGTGAGGGCTGAGCTGGATTCACGGTCACCCGTGGAACACCCTTCTCATCAGGGCCAACTCCTTCCTGGGGCTTCTGGGGAGCAGGTGGAAGGAGGCAAGGAGCAGAGACGGTTTGGAAAGCTGTGGAAGCTCCTTTGTGGGGCTGTCACTTTAGCCTCACAGGTAGCGTGGACAAGGAGAATCCCTGTGAGTTGGTGCCTGTGCACGTGTGTGGTTGTGTAAGGACGGCACTGCCCCACTAATTACAAATTGCAGGTGGGTACAAGTAGTTAGGTGGTTCAAAAAATCAAAACTGGTTACACAGAATGGACCTATTCCATTTTCTATACGTGCATGCAGTGTGAAAACAAAGATGGCTCCAAGATATCACAGTGCAAGAACTCTGCAGGCCTTTCGAGCATGAATTATTTTGTGACCTGTGAATTGCCTTCATTCCAAATAAAACTTGGGTGCTTTTCTTTTTCCTATCTTCTTTTCTTTTATATAAAATGGCAACTCTTTCCCAGGAGAAATAGCCTTTTTCCATAAATGCAAATCATTTGGGGTTACTTGTATCAATGGTCAATGTGCCTTGTCTTTCATATGGTTATAAGGAGCAGGGCCATGGCTTTGAACTTGAGTAGCTTTAGCTGTTAGATTTATGGTCTGGAAAGAAGTCAGGAGAGGAGTTGCTGTGTCCCCTGCGGCTGCCTCCATAGTGACACACTCCCTAAGTCCAGAGCCAGTTCCCTTCTAGGCGATCAATGAAAGTGAACAAAGTGGTCATTTTCTTAATTTCATTCTGATTAGTGTCCAGGGAAGGATGATGACCTACGTGATCTCAGCCCAAACCGTAAGCCGATTTCTCCTCCTCATTTTCTGATACCTTTACTAGGACCTCAAGTTGCACTTCTGGGATTGAGTGACACGTTAACACGGAGGGAAGCCCAGAAGACGCCCGACAGAACCCCTTCTCCCTGAGCGTCCCCTCCCCTCTCCCTACTTCCAATCAACTGTTGCGCGGCAAACTGCAAACGTACAGCAAATTCCACTAAGATGGTGTCAAAAAGAGAGAATTAAAGAAAAAACATGATGGAAAGCTCGCCTCTTATCTAAGAAATCATTCTATAAATATCTCCCAGTTCAAAGATTTGACTTTTGGTTGTTTGGGGACTATTCCTCACTAGGGATATTTCAAGAAAAAACTCTCCCCATCTGGATGATTTTGTTTTCATTTATGCTATTAAGGATAACTGTACGCAGATCCAAAATAACAGAGGACGTCATTTTATTGGCTGTCCACGGGAAGTTTCATCACACACGGAGGTGAAGACTGTGGGGGGCGCGGCACACAATACCTCAACACGAGACCTCATCGAGCGGCCAAACAGAAGGTGAAATGACCCCCGACACGACGGAACCCCAGCCACCCTCTGCAGCCCTGGTGCCACCTTTCCACAGATGCCGCAGCCCAATAAGCTGAGTGAGGACACTGTCCATCAGTCTCGGTTCGTTGCACTGTCTTCCAACAAAACAGCACTTAAAAATTCACAAAATTAAAAAAAGAAAAAGAAAGCAGCACTTCCTTGGAAACAGCAACACCACTGTAACACAGACGGCAGCGTGGCATGCAGATCCACACCTGGTCGGTTTTTTCCCTTTAGGATTTTTTTTTTCCTTTTTTTTAAATTAACAAATGGAATGGCATGTCTGTTTCAAATATTAGTAGCATAACACGTAAGTGCAGTTGCAGTCTGGCCACAAGCGTCAGAAGCCTTCCGTGTGTCTGTCACGAGGGCGGGCAGACACACTCCGATTCTACCCCTGGAGGGTCCCCGTCCCCAGGCCCACCAAAAGAAAGCAGCGACTTCTCTGTTTCCATTGGTGTCAAAGCACTCAGGTTGGGGAAGAAAATTCAAATGAAACCAAGCTCTCAGCATCCGGGGCCCGCCGCCCTGTGCCGTTCTAAGTGGTCTCTGTCCCCCAGACCTGGGGCTGTTATCTCCACAGTGGCATTGGCTGGGGGAGTCGCTGTGGAGCACACCCCTCCGCTCACTCCTGCTGCCTGTGGAGGAGCCTCTGGTGCCTCCCCAGCCTGGGGCCACACGGGTCACACGGAGCTGAGCTTCACCAGGCCGCGCACAGAGTCCTCGTGCAGGGAGTCCTGGCTGGCCAGGCCCAGCACGTGCATGGTGCGGCTGTGCGCCAGGGGGCTGCCCGCCGCCAGCAGCCTGGGGGGTGAGGGCGCCTCATCGGGCGTCAGGAACTGGTGGCCCATGTGCTCATCTTTCCGGGGCATCACGTCCGCAAGCGTGGCCTCGGCGAGGTTGGGCATGGAGGCGGGCGGCGTGGGCGGGCCCAGTGTGAGGCTGGCGCAGGGCGTGCCCAGGCCAGGCTTCCCGGGTAGGTGCAGCTCGTCGCTGGTGAGGCTGGGCTCGCTCTGCAGCAGGGGGGTGGCCGCGGCCTGCAAAACGAATTTGGTGCTCTGAATGCACTGGTCTTGGTCGCACTGGAGAGCGGGAGGCGCCAGCAAAGAGAAGGTGGAGAGGAGGGGGCAGAGGTGGGGAGGGACGGGGACAGGGCATGGGCGGGGAGGGCGGGGTGCGAGAAGAGAGAAACCGTTAGTGACACCTCAGTCAGCCAGGCAGGGAGCGCGTAGAGTGGCCCAGGTGCATTGGGAGAGACACCCAGGGCCTGGTGCTGCAATTGCCTCTGCTCAAATGAAGTTACCACGGGTGCCCGGTCATAACATGCAGCACTGATCATGAAGCCAGTGGCCTTGGTTCCCAATTTAAAGGACACAATTGAAAAATCTCTTGGACAGAGTCACAGGCCACCTACAGCAGTGGGTGGCTGTTTCTTGTATGCTGAAAACCATTTTTTAAACCACATTGTTTTAAAAATACAGGGGTTGTACACCCGTGTTCATAGCAATGTTATTGATAGTAAGTCAAAAGTCAAAAGCAACTCAAGTGTCCACTGATGAACGACAGCAGGGACAAGGTGCAGTGTAGACACACAATGTTAGTGATTCAGCCTTAAAAAGGAAGTGCATTCGGACACATCCACTAGATGGGTGGACCTTGAGGACAGCATGCTAAGTGAAACAAGCCAGTCACAAAAAGACGAATAACTGTGATTCCACTGATACGAGGTCCTTGGAGGGTCATGTTCTTAGAGAGAAGGAAGAATGGTGGCTGCTGGGGTGGGGGACGGGAGGAGGAGGGAGCTGGTGTTTAAGGCATGCAGAGTTTCGGCCAGGGAAGATGAAGAAGCCCTGGAGATGGGTGGTGGTGGTGGTTGCAGAACAACATCAGCGGATTTAATACCACTGAACTTATACTTACAAATGGTTAAAATGGCCAATATTATGCCGTGTCTATTTTACCACCAAAAACAGAGAGAAAAGTACATGGGTGACAGAAGCCCTTGAGGGTCTGATCAGATTGTTTGGTAAAAGCCTAGAATTCTCCACTGCTAAATTTCCAACAGCTTCAAGAGCCATTCCCCAAGCCTCTGTGGTCTGAGAATGCCCACACTTGAGAAGACGTTTCCTATTCTTCCACTTAAGTCACATGACATCTGCCTTGTGTCCTGTTTCCCTTTGCTCACTGGGCCAAGAAGATAGTGTAAGCACTTGTTCAGCCTATGCAACGGGCACCCCGATAGCTCTGCAGACCCTCTCCTTGAACTATGGGCAACTTTCAGAACAGCTAGAAGATACTTAACGGGACTTGGACACCTTCAACTTAAGCCTGTGCAGCACCTTCTCAGTGAGATTCAGGAGCAGTGTTTCGATGGGAAGGAGGAGGAATAGGCATGGATATTAGGGGAGCAACTTGGGACTCTGTGCCCAAGCTTGAAACTGGCTGCTCCGCTCCACTTCTGCAGAGTTCTTACAACGAGCTTGCTTCCCCTCTTCACAAATGAAGACCCTGGGACACGGATGGGTTGGGCAGCACGATCAAGACCTTACAGATGAAAGTAAGAGATGGATCCAGGATTTGAAGCTGCGGTAGACCTCTTTCCACTATTAGGCATTTGACACAGCAGATGCTTAATAAATGTTATTTGGTCTTTCATCGCCTCCTCTTTATCAGAAGGCTAGAGTTACTTAAGAACTACTCACCAATGGCTTTGTGATTTAGGTGTGCCAACCTCTTCCTGATAAGAGACATGCCCAGAACTGCCATTGCTCATACCCCTGCAGCCGGAGCCGTGCAGGGCCAACATGCACAATACAGCCTCGACTGGAGGGAGGAAGTTCAGCCGAAGCCGATCCCAAGGTGCTTATTTCGTGCAGTGCACGCTTCCTTCCCTTCCTCATGGGTTTCTTTCTAAAATCACAAGTAGTAGGCAGGCCACCCCTGAGCCACCCTCCAGCCTAGAAGAGCAGGTTGAGGGGCTGCAGTCTTCAGAAATCTGCAGGTTTTAGATGCTCAAAGACTAGGTCCTAGGCAAGAGTAAAGCTCATAGTGGAGTTATGAAGAGGGCAAGCAAGTCTCACGGAAGATCCTTGCTTTTCTGTGGCTTCAACCCGGGTAGTGAAATTGCAAAACACTGAGAAGCTGGGTAAAGCCTGAGAAAGAAAGGTGTCAAAGTGGGGTCCGGGGGAGCGGAGGGGAGTGGGGTTATTCAGAGGAAAGGAAAGGCCATTAGAAACTACTTGGGAGGCGGGCTGGGCGCGGTGGCTCACGCCTATCATCCCAGCACTTTGGGAGGCTAAGGCAGGCAGGATCACCTGAGCTCAGGAGTTCGAGACCAGCCTGGGCAACATGGCAAAACCTCATCTCTACAAAAAAATACAAAAATTAGCTGGGCATGGTGGCACACAAATGTAGTCCCAGCTGCTCAGGAGGCTGAGGCAGGAGAATCACTTGAGCCCAGGAGGCAGAGGTTCCAGTGAGCTGAGATCGTGCCACTGTACTCCAGCCTGGGCGATAGAGCAAGACCCTGTCTCTAAATAAATAAATAAATAAAAAGTACTTGGAAGGGGCTGACTGTGAAGTGTTAACAATCCTTTAATGCACTCATTTTTCTACTCATCACCAGAATCATCTGTGCCACAGCGGTGCTTCTCCAAGCTGTCAGGTGGGCAACAGAGTCGCTTTCTCTGTCTTGCAGGGAATTTCAGCTCAGGGTGCAGGTCCCTTCTGGTGGGGGCTACTGAGCAGGAGGCTGTCAGGCTGCAGAGAGCTGTGGCCTGTGTAGGCTGCTTGCACTCTCCCATGCTGTCAGCTCTGCTCAGAACATGGGCTCAGTCTTGACAGGGCAGAGGTGGAGGCAGACCAGCCTCACTGATTAAACATTCACCTTCTGGAAACTATACCAGGGTTTGGATAGACTGAGCTTTGCAAAGAATGTTTTATGAACATCACCGTTTCGTATTCTTCCTGACAGAGGCAGCTGAGCCACAGCGGCACTCCCATTTCCTGTAACTGCGCACAGCCTCCAGCAGGCCGGGCCTGGGAATGAGCCCAGGACTGAGCTGCCGCTTCAGAGAGTTCGGCTGGCGAGCCAGCGCTCTTGCTGGACCAAGGCATCTCGTTTTCAAGCTTCCCCTCTGGAGCCCTCACTCATCCTAATGCTTTCTGTCCACACAATACCCCCCGGCTCTCAGGAATAAGGAAATTGCAAATTAGATTTGCTTGTCTCTGTTGACCTGAAGAAAGTCTTTTCCACTGAAGACTAATTGGCATATTCTGTTTTAGGGATCAGCCCAAGTACTTCTGACTGACTCTCACAGACTCACAGAAAAATATGTTTGAGGGTGGAGCTAGAGGCGATGGTCAAGGTCACACAGTAGGAGCCTGAGGGCAGACGAGGGCTCCTCTCCTCCCAACTCTGTCTCTTTCACCTTCCCTCTGGGAAGAGGTGGGCTCTCCTCATCCCTGTGTTTATTTCACCCTCCCTCTCTGGGGAGAGGTGGGCTCTCTTCCACTTTCTGTCTTTTTCCCCCTCTCTTGTCCATTCTTCTACTCTGCACTACCCCATCAGCTACTGGCCCTTTTCCTCTCCCCTGATCACCTCTCTGCCACCTAAGCCTGCAAAGAGCTCCTGCACACCCGTGAGAACCTTCTCGGAGAAGGTGGTTGTCAGCAGCGGTTGGTTAAGCTCCTGAGAGCTTGTGTTCCCTGTTGGGGTTGATGCAGAGTTGGGTGCACTTTGGAGACTTCTATTTGCAAACATCCTTTGCTAACTTAAAACACAGATAACAGCCCTAGAGGTGGCTTTACTGGGAACCTAATGATGCTTCAGGCTCCTTTACTTACACAGCCTCTTTCCAAGGCCTCGTTCTCTGCATACTTAAGAAAAAGCATATCTCATGGAGATTTGCTTTTTCTTAAAGGGGGTCTCCCATGGCATGGTTCAGACTGCTCCAATCCTGGCCCACTCCAGCCATACCTATTGGCACTTTGCCATGCTCTACCTACGACTCGTTAAGAACTGGAGTAAACACTGTGTGGGCCTCACTGGCCAGGACCTTGTTGGAAATGCTCTTGAGTTTGTCAAAGGCTTAAGGACTTGAAGAAGGTGTGAAATAATATTTGTGAAATAAAAAGTTTAGCCTAAGCCGTTTAATTTTTTTGTGTTTTGTTTTTGTGAGATGGAGCCTCACTCTGTCACCCAGGCTGGAGTGCAGTGGCACGATCTTGGCTCACTGCAGCCTCTGCCTCCCAGGTTCAAGCAATTCTCCTACCTCAGCCTTCTGAGAAGCTGGGATTACAGGCATGCACCACCATGCCTGGCTAATTTTTGTATTTTTTTTTTTTTTTTTTTAGTGGAGATGGGGTTTTACCACGTTGGCCAGGCTGGTCTTGAACTCCTGACCTCAAGTGATCCGCAGACCTCCCGAAGTGCTGAGATGACAGGTGTGAGCCACCGTGCCCAGCCTGTAAGCCATTTAATTTAAAAAATCTATATGGAAGTCACTCAGAAATGTTTTCCAAATGACTCTTTGGAACCCTGACTTACCCGATGATAAGCACCTCTTCTACGCAGATTTGTTTAAACATCTTAAAAGATGACTGTCTTTTTAAGTCTAGCTATGGGTGTTTCCCCTGATAGAGGGAAGGCTTTCATATCAACCATGAGCCTACTGTCTGTGCCCTCCCCAGCTTTCCTGCTGAGGTGATAGCAGGGGGCAGGGCCACTGGCACCAGGCACCTAAGTGTCTGAGTCCTGTGTGTAGTTCACAGCTTTGAAGACACTCTGCCACATTCAAACCGATTTCCATTTAGAAGGCAAATCTCAGCTGGGGCACACCGGGACCAGGCTCTGTTCTGCAGGGTGTCACCCATCTAAATCTCCTGTTGGCTCAGAAGAGGGCACTGGCGTGGACAGAGCAGAATTTTGTCAGATTCCAACCAAGGGTAGTGCAATGACTCTACTGACTGGAATTTACAATTCTCATTAAATGCTCTCAAAACGTCGCCTGTTTTGAACATATGCTTCTTAGAAAAAACTTAGATATCAAATGACTCAGGGATACCTGATTTTTTAAAAAGA